TTTGATGACGAGGATGATGGCGGCAACAAATCAAACTCAACCACAACAAAAAATGATAAAGTCTTCAGAATAATGCCATTCATGATATCATTCGTGATGATGATGATGGTAATCTTGATATTAACAACAGAGATTGTGCCGGTGATACTGATAATGATACTAATTGTGAGAATAACAAATGGTGAAGATAATGCTGGTGATAATGATAATGACAAAAGTTACGATGCGATAATGATTAGAATGATATTGACAATGGCACGACAACAACCTCAAACAACAATTATACAATAGCATAATCATAAAATAACAACGCTAAAGATAAAATATCAATAACAATAATGATAATAGGAAGACGACGATAATTATGATAACAGCAAAATACCCTCTCAACAAAAATGATCACTACTCCCCATTACACAAATACTAAGACTTCAACCCTAACTTCCACTAATACTCCGACTGATAGTACCATTGTCAAGTAAAGCATTAACGTTGAACAGACAAAGAAGAGGAAGAGGAAACGAGAGGAGATCCCGTAGAAGAAAGTGGAACGAAATTAAAGGGAAAAGAAACTACCAACTCCCACGAGGAACTTTGTGCAGGAGATAAGATCGGCGGGAAAGACACAAAGGAGGATGGCTGAGCATAATGATCGTCAGAAGCAGAGCTAACACTGCAGCACCAAGATTTAAAAGAAAGTGAAATAAAACGAAACAACTGATGTAGAATAAAATAAGATGAAATAAATGAGGATAGGATAGAATAAGATGAAGGTAGACAAAACAAAATTAAATAAAACAAAAGAAGAAATAAGATAAAATGACATGAAATAGGGGAAAAATGAATAAAAAGTCAAGAAATTATACGAAGTAATAGCACCCATTTTAAATCCCTTAAAACCGTTAACAATCGTTAAATATGAAAAGGAAAATTCGGAAAGCGGACCCAGGAAGAGGAAGGGCGAGACGCCAGACAGATGAACGCCTGAGTGACTTCTAAAGAGAAAGTGTGAGGAAGACTTTCTATAAATACGCGTCTCTGGGTATGCAGACAGACCATTTTTTTCCAAAAGCTTACGTGGTTTCGCTTCAGGACTTACCAAGTGCAAACAGGTTTTCTTGAAAAATTGTTGTTACATAACTTCGGCGATTTTAGCGCATTCCCTTTCATTCAACGAATTCGTTTTTCCTTTTCTTTTCAGCCAGACGGAATAATATCTGAGTGGTTCCATATTCTGAATAAGAGTGCTTAACGATTAGTTGTCTTTCCAGTGGCTCAGTTCATAGAAAAAATAAAAATCTATGGCAGAAAAGGGAATACTACAAAAACTCGAAAGCTTTGTGAATTAGCTTAGTGTCCCAAGAACTTAATAAACAATGATAATAGATGGACAGATAGATAATAAATGATAGACTAAATGCAGATTGACAGATTAGCAGTACACTTTCGTAGAAGGTATATGTTGGCTGATTATGCTGCGTATGACACATATTCTATCTGAACGTGGGCACGGGATAGGTCTGTATATGAATCTGAATGCCAGTGTACTTGGTTTGTATATATAGTCAGTATACAAGGGTCTACCAGGACAAAGTCTGAAAAATAGTTACTGGTCCTATGACTGGATTAATTTGCTACGATATTTGATTGGTTTTGTCATCGACTTAAGTTATATGTTAATCGTTGCCCTAAACTGTAGACTTTTTTTACGAGCATTATCCCTTCTCGTTTATCTCCGAATGCTACAACAACACGGTCACGAAATACCATAGGCTTTCCGTATCAGAACAACCCTCCCCCTAAAAATAATAAAACAACAACAACAACAACAACAGCGATTCCGTTCTTTTGAGGTCATCCACCCGAGGGATCTCCGCAACCACGCTTTCATCTGCACGGCCATCACTGGTACTCTCGATACCAAGTACGTAACGTTTGACCTTGTAAGTTCAAGGCAGAGCGTAATACTTCACTTCGGAAATGAGGTAAAGAACCCCTTTATAGCGGGCCTTTCATGGGTAATATAATTGAATACGCTGGAGTATGATTTACGGGTGTCCCATAAGACGTGTATGTGTGTGTGCGTGTTTGTTGGGTTAGTTAGACAGGTGTTATTCTAGGTACTAAGTACTTTTCTTTCGTAATGTAGCCTAATGATTTTCACACTAAAAGTACGGATGCAATGATAAAAGAACGGATACAAATTAGATACACGTTGATATACAATACAATGTTTCACGTCTCCCCGGTGTTTTTTTTTCCAAATTTTAGTGCGGCTTAAACTATCCCTATGCCCCCGAGTGCCAGGGCCAGGCCGCGAATACACATCTCAAGGGACGCCACATACTTGACCCTAACTGTAAGCCTAATTGAGGTCGTTTCACCTCGCCCGTCGCTGGTATTTCTGTTAACTGAATAACATTGATTTCCCAGTGAACATTTTTTTCTATTTTTTTGTAAACATTCCTCCTAGGATCTCCCGCTGTGCGAATAATTATAT